TTATATTGATTTTTAAGATCCATGACCTTGAATGTCTCCATAATAACTTTGGAAGCTTGTCCAGGGATTCCGAACCGAATTGGCATAGTGATTTCGCCAAGGGTTGTCGTTATAGTTCCATTAAAGCCTTGAACTTGATCCTTACAGGGTTTTAACTCGGCTGGATCGATTCCCATTTGTTCAAACGTACGCAACATCATAATACTTGAATATGCTCCAGTGTCCACCAACATACGATGTATCGGTATTCCACAGATGGGTGCCGTGATTATTAAGGGATCAGCATGAGGGTGAGCAAAATAACTTGCATCATCAACATTGAATGTGATCGGGCAATTGTTCCGACCATTAATTTTATCTCGGAGGTCAGTAGTTAAAACTGTTTTTCCCGAGTTAAAAGCTTTTCGTGCATATGCTTTTATTTGCCTTCGTGATTCCAACGTTGCATTACTGCTGTTGTTGACCCGAGGTACATGGTGTGAGTTGTCTGGATTATAGTATCCTCCTCGATACATCATTTCAGTCGAATCTTTTTCTCTTTGATTCGTCATATATATTTCTTTCTCGTTTGATCTCACCCGTTTTGGATTAATTGGACGTTCTTCATCGTCTTCATCGTCTGGTAAATCAGGCATTCTTCCTTTTCGTTTGTAATCAACATTCTTAGCAAATCTTTGGACTTGAGGATGTCCAATAAGTCGCAACAAGGCAGAAAGTAAACCGAGACACTCATCAGTATTATGGCCTGCCGACTTATGATATGAACAATATCTCGTTTTATCGAGTTTTTCTTCAGGTGTTCTGACAGGTCGAGGATCGGGAAGAATCCCTTTCCCTTTTAATTCTTCAAATATTGTTGCTGCTCCTGCTGAGAATACCGTCTGGTAGCTGGATTTAACTTCATTAAGGTATTTCGTTCTGGCTTCTTGTACTTCGGGGATCTTTGGATTCCCAAATCGAGACTTATTTGGCTTAAAAAATTTATTTTTCTTCTTTTTTGATTCTTGCCCGACTTCCGACTTCAACGAGGAAAAGTCGATATTAGGAACCGACATTGATTCTTCAGCTAAAATATGCTGCTGAGCCCGAGTTAGAAAGTCTTGAAACGAAGTCGGTTTATTTTGACATATACTCCATCGGAACAACGAGTTTGGCTTCAATCCGGCTATGGCTGTGACCAACAACGTTTCGGGATGGCATTGCTCCATATTTTGTATGCGCTCGTTGAACCGAGTAATGTAGTCTTTCACGCTTTCATCATCTTTTTGTACAATATTCGCAATTGACTCTTTGGGAATTAAAGATACTCGGGCCCCGATAAAATGAGAGCGAAAAGCTGTCCTCAACTGCTGCCACGTGGAGATTGAATACCGAGATAGAGAATGATACCATTTTTGAGCTCGTGGTCCCAAAGTTAAGGAAAACATCCGACATCTGAGTGCTTCACTCGCTCCATGAAGATCCATCCAAGACGTGTACTGACCGAGATGGGCATCAGGATCGGAAGTTCCATCATATAAGCCGATTTGCGGAACTTTCACTTTAGTTGGGATTGGTTCTCTAGTCAGGTATGGAGCTAAGGGAGTTCCAACCTCTTGATACGTCTCTTCTATTACTGGAGTTCGTCGTGGCGGTCCTCCATGTTCACCTTGACAAGTCTCCAGCTCAGCAATTCTTTTTCTCAACATTTCTAACTCTTCTGATTCGCGTCTTTGACGATTTCTTTCAATCAAACGACGTAATTCATTCTGCCCACGACGAGCGTGAGTTTGTTCAAGAGTGTGTCGTAAATCAGAAGGTTGGTCATGTCGTGATAGTTCTGGTAACGACGGAGTAGGCTGTCGTGGTCGATGTCCAGAATGGCTTTCTGCAGTCGCTTCTGATCGCGCTGGTTCTGGAACTCGAGTTTGGACTGGAACTACCCCACGATTTTGAGTCGTTGCATCATGTTGTGATTCATGTGTACGTGAATGGGAAGTTGCATGTGATGTCGCAGGAACATTATTTCTTCGTGTAACTGGAGTTGAGCGAGTTTGAGGATTAACCGCTGGGGTTGATTCTATTCTTGTTCGTGCCATAAAATCAGTTAAGTTTTTCAAGAACTCTGGATCTTGAAATAAAGCTGAATAATCAATTGATGTAGATGGCACGGCAGAAGTTCCGGTTGTATGAGTTGGATGACGATTGATCCCAGGGTCAGGATTTCGTTCATTCCGTCCAGAATTTGACATCCTTTGTGTGTTGTTTTACAAGACAAACAATTGAAAAGGGAGAGGCGGCCCTCCTTCTAGCGCCAAACTGTTGCTGTCTTGAATTAACAACTTCAAATTAAACTTAGCTGATGTTTCAAAAATGAAGATAAAAGTTTAATTGGATTTCATTAATTATGTTCACGAGTACAGAAGTCGGTTTTAAGCTGAAAACCGAGGTTGTCTTAAGTTCGTGTACAATGTGATCGAAAAAGATCCTCGTACTATCATAAATTCTGCTATTTATAGTACGGTGGCTTTTGTCCTCTTCCTCGAAATGGATAAAGATGCATTTAATATTGAGCTGCTTTGTTTTGAGGCGGCAGGAAACATCAATGATTGCCTTTTTGTTTCGTTGGTCCAATCAGATGCTTCTAATGATTACTTTCTGTTGGAATGCTCAAACTTTACGGTAGTCGGTTGATTTGAAGTCGGTTTCGGATGTCGGTTTCGATCCTTTTTTTGAAAGTCTGTTGGAAGTTGGATCTTTCGGAAATCGGCAATTCTTAAGAAGTCGGTAATTTGCTATAATATATTCCGACTTTTAGTACCTTAATTCTGATTACTGGATTTGATATCAACAAGTTTATTTAGAAAAGGAAACCTTTTTTGAAAATTGGTAATGATGTTATTCTCAAGCAATATCAGACCATGAAAACTCGTAACGAACAACTATGAAGAAATGTTTTTTGTATTTGCACTTTTTCTTATAATATTTTATATTTTGTCATTAAATAATTAGGCCCCCTCATTATATTTTCTAGATCTGCCCCTGCTGGTGGTTCTCCCTCGGTCTCCTGCGGGTCCTTGATTGGGGTGGTTTGCCCCTCGATCTTCATCTAGCCTGCGATTGGGGTCGGCTTCGCTGTTTCAGGTGGGGCTCTCGGTGGGACTTGGGCTCTGATCGCCTGCGGTCTGCAGTGGGCTGGATACAAGTGGTTCAGCGGGCGGGGCGGGACTCTGGCGACTGCGACATCTTGCGTCGGGGAAGTCGGAGTTCTGGAACCGAGCATATCTCACCCCCCAGTTCTCTGGTGTTGGGGACGCGAGGGTCCAGAACTCCCGAGCTTGACTAGTGGCGTTAGATGAGTTCGGTAGTGATGATGTGGGGGAGCTGGTTCGTTGTTCTCTCGGTTGGAGGCGAATCAATTTGGGATGTGTTCGGGGCTCGGGTCCGGCTTATGTATAGGCAGTTTCGCAATTTCGGTAGCGGTTCCTCGGGCTTGGGATCTTCTTGGGTCAATTGTTTCTCTGCTGACTTGGGGAAGGGCCTAATCTATCGATTTATAGTTATTTAGTTTTTGTTTGTTTTAAGTATGTGTTTGTGTTATTTTTTGGTCTTGTTTTTTTGGTTTGGGCTGTTGGCCTTTGTGAGCGCGACTGTGTGCGGGTATTATCCCTTGGGGATCGTTCCTATTCTCCAGTGGGGAGCTTTGTGTGTTTTGTTGTGTTTTTTGTTTGTGGCGTCGTTTGTGTCAGTCTTGTCTTTTAGTTTCTAGCTTTGCTATTTTCGGTTTTAGGCGGTCTTCTGGCATGTCCTCCAAATTTTTCAGTTGTTGGTTGTATTATTCAGCAAGGGGTTGTTCTTTGCACATTTGTACGTTTTGATATATAATATTTTCTATCGTTTCAAAAAAAAAAAGAATTATACGGATATAATTTACCATTTTTAGACCTTATTCAATTATTCAGTTATCCTATATTTTTTGAGCTCATTCAAATTTATTTGTCATCTTTTATTCAAAATCATGTGCGGCGCGGTAAACATTCTAAAGTCTTCATGAATATTTAGAAAATGCTAATCTAATGCATTGAATCATCATAAATATGAAATAGCATATTAGATATAACATATAATCGAATGCATTGAATCCTCCTACATATCAAATGGATTGTTAGATATATTAGTACAATACTCGTGTATTACACGGGTGATTGTTAAGAAGTTATTCTTAAATTTTAAAATTAATGAGAAAAATTATTTTAAGTTTTATTTGTTTTTTTTACAAAAAATATATATTATTATATATTTTAAAATGACACTTGTTATTTGTGCGGGTTACATGTGTTATATTATAATAATTTTTATAACTTATATCATATAACTACTTGAAATATAAATATATTAATTGATAAATAATTTTATTTTTCTAATTAATATTAAAAATTATTATTGTTATAAGGATAAATATAATTTTTTTTATACATACAGTATGGATGTTAAATTGAAGCTCATCAAGAGATAATTAATTTGATACATTATACACTAGTAGAAAAAACACTTTTCACATCGGCTGTTTACATCGATTTTGTCAAAATCGATGTAAAAAACACTTTTCACATCAGATGTTGACATCGGTTTTGCCGAAACCGATGTAAACAATAAAGACGGTGACATTTTCGTAAATAAAATTTCATTTGGAACATCGGTTCTTAGACAACCGATGTGAACGATTTGCTGGGCGACACTTATTACATCGGTTGTATGTAGAACCGATGTAAGAAATTTAATTTCAAGTATCGGTTAAATGAACCGATGTGAATGCGGTAAAAAAAAAATTAATTTCAAGCATCGGTTAAATAAACCGATGTGAATGTGGCCCAAAAAATGACGGGCTAAATTAATATGCATCAGTTTTAAAAAACCAATCGCGCGAAACTGCCAAACATAAATCTTAAGCCTAAGTCGCCGGTCCATCTTCTGAAAATCGATTATACACTCAAAACACTCCACCAATTTCACCTTAACAGTTTGTCTCTCTCAAAACCCTCCACTGTCGCCCCTTCACAGTTCGTCGCCTCTCACCGACAGCAACAACGCGACCGAGACTAGCGCCGGCAGCCGCAGACCTGAGCATTATCGGGAAACCGAGAGCAGGTCAGGAGTATCACTGTCGAACAAAGGAGTAGTTGAGCGACCAACGGGCTTCCGACAAATACCAAGCAGAACATCCGAGCACACCCAATTCGAGGAATTTTTCAGCACCGTGAATTGTCCGGTGTGCCGGTAACAGACTGCATCAAGTCGAGCTATTTTGAGAGCACCGAGCCCTGTTCCTTCCTTCTTTATTTATTACCAAGAAAGGTACAACGGCTGAACCTTTTTGCATTCAAAATGGCTGAGTAATGTTCTTTTGTATGCTTTAGTTTTATTTTTATGGGATTTTGTTTCAGCAGGCTTGAGTTTAAGAGTTAAGGCTAAAGAGAGCAATTTATGATTTGTTTTGGCTGTGTTGTTTATATTGTTGAAACTGAGTAGTTATTAGGGTATTATTTTCAGATATGAGGATGATTTTTTGTTGCTTTGAGTTTAGGAAAAGAGTAGAGGTAAAGAGAGATACTGGTTGTTGTTTTAGGCTTGAAGTTGAAGAGATAAATGAATTGGTTCTTGTGTTATTTGGCTGAGTAGGTTGCCTTGTTTTGCTGCACATTATTATGTGTTATACATGCTGAAATTTAGGATATGCCAGAGTTTTAATTTAAGTTGTTAAGTGTTAAGTTGTGTGGCTTAATGTTTGAGGAAAAAGGAAAAGAAAAGAGCCCTTGGTGTGGTGTTTTTACCATGCTGCTCTATGTTACTTGGCTGAGTTTTATTGCGTTGTTAAGCATGCTTTAGTTTGTTGAAAAAAGAAGAGGTTGTATGTCTTGTGTTTGGTGCCGTTGGTCAGGTTGTAAGCCTTACAGTTGGTTTCTTTTTGAGTAAGAAAGAAAGAAAATGGAAGGGAAAAGAGAATCAATTATGTTGAGTATAAGTCTTTGTTTGTGTTGGTTTTGCTGAGCCTGACTGAGATGTTTTTATATGCTGAATTGTGTTCATTTTCAGAGTATTAATATCAGTTTAGAGGCCTTATTAGTGTTATGTGAGAGTTAGAAAAATTTATGTGCTTTATTTGCCTTTAAATTAAGAACATATTATCATGGGAAATAATCAGAGCTAAGGGGTATTTCGGGTAATTTAATTTGTAGCTGTAGAAATTCATGGAAAAAAATTGATACTTTTTGTTATCTGGAATATTGTTATGTAGTTATGGATCATAAATGGATATATGCTCCCCAGACAAGTTTAGAGTATGAAAATGGAGTAAATGAGTTCTTGGAGTTTGCTAGCATGCATGATCTTGACAATAACGGGAAGTTCTTATGTCCGTGCGTGAATTGCCTAAATGAGAGGAGATTAAGTGCTGATCAAATTCAAGAGCATGTGGTTTGCGATGGATTCAATAAGGGTTACACAAAATGGATATGGCATGGTGAATTTGAAATGCCGAGTGGGCCAAAAAAGGAAGAAGTTGATGCAGATATGTATGATCGAGTGGAAGAGATGATTAATGATATTGGAGCTGAAGCCTTTGAGCAAGTATACACAAGAGGAGTGTGTGAGACCTTGTCAACGAATGTAGAAAAGCCTTTGTACAAAGACTGTGAGAACTTTTCATGTTTGTCCGCTGTGTTAAAACTAATCACATTGAAGGCCGCAAAAGGGTGGAGCGATAAGAGTTTTACGGAATTGCTTGGCTTGTTAAAAAGTATGCTTCTTGAAGACAATGAACTGCCAAACTCTAATTATGAGGCGAAAAAAATTTTGTGCCCATTGGGTTTGGGGTGTAAGAAAATTCACGCATGCCCTAATGACTGTATTTTGTACAGAAATGAGTACAAAAGTCTTTATGAGTGTCCGATGTGTGGGGTTTCGCGCTACAAAAAGGAAGTTCACACAACGTCCAATGCTCGTAAGCTTACAAACAGGCCACAAGAAAAATTATTGTGGTATATTTCTATAATTCCACGATCCAAACGTCTTTTTTCTAGTGCAAAGGAGGCAAAGAATTTGAGATGGCATGTTGATGAGAGGATAGACGATGGTATGCTCCGACAACCCGGTGATTCCCCTTAATGGAAGAAAATAGACCACTTGTTTCCTTTCTTTGGAAATGAGCCAAGAAACATCAGGCTCGGTCTTTGAACAGACGGGATGAATCCATACAGTAGCCTAAGCAGCAAGCACAGTGCATGGCCAGTTTTATTGGTCGTTTATAATCTTTCTCCCTTATTGTGTATGATCTTTCTCCCTTATTATGTATGAAGCTCAAGTACATCATGTTGTCTATGATGATCTCGGGGCCAAAACTGTAACGCCCCAAAACAGTAATAATATTCAGAACGGTTTCACTGCTCGACTATAAGTGAAATCCGTAAGTTTCAGAAATTTTCGAGTTATATTATTTATGCTAAATGCTCAAACATGATAAATTATTCTTTGAATAATTCTATCTCAAGTATAAGTTAAGGCTAATCCATTAATTTGGGTTATTAAATAATAGCAAGTCAATTTGAGAAATTACCGGACACGAACCCTAGTTGTCGTTCCCAGTATATTTTCCTAAGTCAAAAATTGAGAGTTGATATTTTAATACTTAGAATATTTTTCTAAGTGTGTTAGAATACCAAAGTCGAGCTTTGGACATTTTATATTGAGCCCTAGTGCTCACCCGAGCCGCCCGTGCCGAGCCCCGCACCCGCGCCTCGTGCCGTGCCAAGCACGTGCCTACCGAGCCCATGGCTTGTCCTAAGCCTCGGCATAAGTTGGTAAAATAATTCTAAGTGTTCTTGGACCCTTGGAGAGCCTTAGGACTCGGCCCAAGACCACCACACGCGAGCAGCCGTTTTTCC